CGAGGAGGATCGTAGAGGAGGCTGCTGTTGTGGTAAGTGAGGAAGAGGTCAGTTGGTGGAAAGTAGAGAGAATTACTGTGGCTGGGCCCGACAGCGGCATTGAATGATGCGTTTAGCGGAATAATTAGATTCACAAGCCCATCGTACTCAAAACCAGTGTACCCAAGTGTGAGAAACAATCCGGGTGCGGGCGGTTGGTTGGACGTGAAGAGAGTTGGTGATAGCACCAGGTGAGGGAGGGGGGAGGGCCGGAGGGCGTACGCACCGATGGAAGAAAATAAAGATGCCTTAAAATAGAGCGATGGCCGGGGGAGGGGGAAGGAAGGACTGTAGTATCGGCGTCTGGGAGTGGTTAGGCAAACTGCCTTTTTTTCTGGGGAGGGGAGGAGGTCGCAGCACGTAATCCGAATTAGGAAACACTGTGACAGCCCCGTACCTTCAGTGCATACTCTATTTCATTAAATGTCAACCAAAGTCCTATAATCTGTTTCGAATCGAAGAAATTACAAATTTAGGGTTGGAATGTTGACTATGGTACAGTTGAATCTCAAGGTATTCCAATCATGTAAGGATGCCTGCGCTTGAACTAGTTTCCCTCTGACTTCCTGCAAAGGGTATATTCTGTGCGAAATAGCTACTTAGGCAGAGTGCCCCTTTCTTATTAATTTTTAATGCCCTCATAGGTATAAATATATTAGTTTAGAAAACAAACACAAAAACTCCCTCTTCAACTCACTTGGTGGGAAATTACGCCGCTTTCGAATTTGCGTTTGAAGAAACGATATCTTTGGGGTTTAAAAGTAGTTTATAAAATGCCGAATAATTTTAAACCTTGCTGTCCGTTACACTTGAATTCAAGTTTTTCAACCTACACGCTGGGTACCTACAGTTTATGGAAGGGTAGGCAGTTTCTTAGGGTTTGTGTGGAAGAGATCACCTAATTGCCATAAAATTTTGCAATGGATGTAGATCGCCTTGAATAAATTCTCAGCAACATTAATTAATTGACGAACACTATGTATTATGAATGAACACTGCATAGGGCTAAAAAAACACAGTGAAAAAATTTCCTTAAACCAAGCAGTGCCCTTTCTTCAAGCATGAAATTTGAAGAAGACGTAATTTGCTAACAAATCAATAAAAGAAAGAATATTTTGTATGCATTTTTTAAATAAAATATACTTGAATTCATAAGGGCATTGCAAATCAATGATAAAAAGTCATACTACTTAAGTAGCCATTTTTTACACAGCATACTTTTAGCAGGTCGCCAGAAAGAAACTCTTTCGAACGCCGACATCCTGACGTGGCTGAAATATCCTCAGATTAAACTGTGTGACCATCTACATTACAATATTATTTAAGTTCGAAACGCATTTCAGAATTGGGGTTGGCATTTCATGAGATAGGGGATTTACTGTATGGGATAATCATGATGTGCCAGGATTGCACACACGCTCAAAATTAATACTCCCACAAAAAACGGGGAAAGTACTAAAAATGGGTCTGTGAAGCCCTGCCTACCTGCGTTGCAACACTGGAACGAATTACAGCAGAATTGGCCTCAGGAACTGTGGACACGATTTCGACCCGTGTTGGCGGTGGAGGTAGATCCAAGAAGTCCGCAACTTCCTTGTCATGATTATCCAGATCGGGGACTCCTGACAGAGCAAAAGACGGGGTTCAACTTTCAGTCGAATGACAATATTAATTTCAAAAAAAATGATGACAAATTCACAGATGACATTAGGCTCATCTCTTTGAGCACCGCACGAGTTTCAAGTGCACTTGCTTGCACGCAAGACCTGAGTTGTGGTGGAAAGTACTTTGTTGCTTAAACCGGCCCCTTTCATTCCCACTGACAGCACTTGAGGAAGCTATGACGAGGAGGAAACTCTTCCAGTTCATGTTGCCCTTAATCGCCTTCTGGCGTCGGTGAATGATCAAATTAGGGGGAAGGGAGAGACATGCAATTAGTGTGCGTCTGAATAGTAGGATTTTAAGTGCGCGGAAACACGTCCCTCAAAAGTAAAAAAAATACACTTTTTGGGCATGTATGTCGGAGAAACGAAATTTTGTTAATTAATAAGACCACGACAGCATTGCTCAGGCGCGTGGCTTTTAAACAAACTTAAGTACGGTCGATCAGACACGCAGAGTAAACATTTCATCGTAGCCAGCAGTTAGGTCAGGTTTTGTGCGGACAACAGCAGTCAGTTATGGAACGCTTTGGTTGACGAAACTAGAGGCGGTTTCAGTAGAAAATCTGTAAACTAATTGACCTGGGTTGTGAGTGAAAGGTGGATTTTGTAGATGAACAGCGTGCGACTAAATTGCCTGTCCCAATTGAACAGGTAGAAAGGCCAAAAGCACGGTTCACTGCGGTAGCGGCTTTCTTCCGCTGGTACCCGTCACTAACCCACCGTCGCTTATTTGGTCTTCCTCACTCCTTTCTGGTCGCCTTTACGGGTTGTTTGATGATGATGATGGTGGTGGTAGAAGTAGTAGTAGTGGCAGTAGTGGTAGTAGCAGTACTAATAATAATAGTAGTAATAGTAATCTTTGCGCTAGTTGAACTGGAAATTTGTTACAAAACTTAACGGGCAAAATTATTCTGAAATATTACGAGAAACACGATTTCAGAAACATCGTAAGACCCTCGGCAATCCTGCAATACGCGGAAAGGTAATCAAGGTACGTTTTAGCTAACCGATAAACCGATGTTAAATTGCACAAAATACGGCAGGTCAAAAGGAACACCTTTTAGGGGTAATATCCAAAGCGCCTAGTTCTAAGTATAGTAAAAACTGAGTCGATAAAACGGAATACATAATTTAAGGGGTTTTATGTTTGGTTTATCATGCGGCTGAAAACTTGGGGTCAATCTCTGCTTCAGATGTTGCCCCCTCATTAAATTCAAGTTGATCACTTCCGCGTGCGTCCGGTATGCAAAACTCTCAATAGAGCATGGGTGAGACGGCTTTCCGTGGTGTTATCTGTGTCACCACGCTTTATATATGGGAAAGACACGGGAGTGGGAATCTACAGACCTTACCTCAGGAATCAGCTATTAATTGGGGTTATTTTAGTGCTAAAGTTTGTTAAGATTGAGATAGATGTGAAGATTATGGCAGATTTAGGATTAGCATCATGGTTAGGATTAAGACGCGGGAATATTTACCCTTCCTGGAATCTTGCGCGAGGTCGCCAATATTACCGGGGGAGGGGGGGTCCTAAGCTTGCGTCCGAGATGAAACTGATTTCGTTCTCCACTGGGAGATGCTTCTCACCACCTCCGATGAAAACCGAGGGAGATAGCTCAATGATAAGAGCGTTAGGCTTCTGATTAGCAGGTTACGTGTTCGAGCCTTGATTGCCGCAACACCTTTTGTTGGGTAGTGCTCGCTGATAACGGCTTATAAACCAGAAATTGTTATTCCAGTGTCTCTTGTCTTTACCGGCAATACTCATCTGATGTGCAGTCTGTCATTAGATGTGTTCGAGCGCAATTTAAATCTGCCAAATCCCCTAACAACCAAGGTTAGCTTAGTATTCCATCCGATGAATCCAAAATGATTACTTAAGAAATTTTGCCTGGCAGTCAGCTTACTGCGTCCGTATTGGTGGATTCCATACTGCAGTAAAGCTACGCAAGTAAATCGATCCAAGTGTGATTAAATTCACGGCGCACGGTGAGCCTCGCAGCTCAATGATAGAGCGCTGGCTGCGCAAAAGCCTTCCTTGCTGTGTGGGTTCGACCCACATCTAGGCCGCTAATTTTTCACAAGTGGGTCAGTCGAATAAAGAACTATGTAAAGTTCCTGCAACCTTCTCCGATGATGGGTTCGAGTGAGAATCGGAGACGCCAGACCAGTAAACTTCTTCCTCCTCCAGTGATTGCATCTACCCTTCCTTTATGTATATTCTGCCTATTGTAGTTATCTTCCCCTAAATATGAGTTTTGCATTGCCCTGGAAGCGGAAATGTCAGCAATATTACAAAGAACTTGCCCTACGAGTCATAAATATTTTTATTCGCACAGGTTGCAGCGGTAAAGCCCTTGGCAGAGCTCTCGCCAAAACAATCTTCCTGGACGGTTATGGGACATAGTCCGTACACCACCTCAATGGGCAATCAATTGTGCTTACGCCCCATCCTTCTATTAAGAAGCTTTGGTTCGTCGGCAAAATCAATCGTGACGAATCCAGCCACACGTAAGAGTAGTAATGAGCGCCTGGCAATCAATCAGGGAAGCATTGGGTTTAATCGTCTGGCAATACTTATCTGTTGGCTTTGTTAGTTCCGAATTCTCAACAGTCTGTGGCAACTGATAAAAATATGAACTTTATTGGTCTGTGAG